GTTGGTTAATTGAATTTAAATTTTAAAAAATGAGGGTTAAGGAAACGTATTAAGAACAGTACTATCCTTTATTCCTTCCACATTCAACGTGGTGACACTGACCCGGGACAAACCCATGTATTTCTCAAGGTCACAAGCGTGCTGGGGGGAGGAATTCTGTTTGGATTCCACTCTGACCACCTATTTATAAATACGGGGTCTCTAAGCAGATAAGGCCAAGTGGTCTTCCCCGGCACAGCCTTGTAAACAAAGGCAAAATTGGTAAATGTTTGCTCTTAGTTAAAACATGCCCCCACCCGGGCCTGTTTATGTGATCCTGCGTGGAAATCCCCTCCTGCGGACCCCTAATCCACCCGTTACATCACTTACTCACCAAACACTGGTTGAGCAACTCCCTCCCAGGGGGCCCAGGACTGGGCGGTGATCGCATGCACCCTGCCCCCCCCCCCAGGGGGGCTCACTAGAGGGCGTGGGGGTGCGGGGGCCAGCTGGGAGGCACACCCCCACGGCCTGCGTGCACTTGCCCGCATTGGTCCCCCTCACCCAGCTCAGAGGCGTGGGGGTGAGCGAGGCCTCTTCTGTGCCCCGGGGGCTGCGGGAGCTGCAGGAGCGTCCGACCCCAGGGGCGTTGAAGGAAGCCCTGGGCCCCCACACCGGGGGCGGCGGGGCCTGGGGCGAGTCGGGGCGTGTCTGCGGAAGCAGCTGGGCCGGCTGGGCCCCGTGGCGGGTGGGGAACGGGGCCAGGCTCGGTCTCCAGCGCCCAGGGCGGAGCGAGGGCCCTGTGCTGGGGCGGCCAGGCCTCCCCCCTCTCCTCCTCCTCCCCCGCCAGGCGGCTGGAGCGCGGCCAGGGGAGACGACGGACGGCCTTCCGAGCAGCGGGGTTCGGTGGGCCGGGAGCCCGGATACCCCGGCGGCCCCCGCCTGCTCACCTGTGATCCCCAACTGAGACGGGCCTCTGGGGTCAGATCACCTGCTCACAAAAACGTGTACCAGTGCATTTGACTTAAAAACGAGAATCAGTTCATGCCACAAACAGGCTTGGAGTGCGTTCCTGAGTCACCTCTTTAATGACCAAAGTTGCGTAATCACTTGGAACAAGGCTGTGACTTACCTCACCAAGTTATACACGGCACAAGAGGGAGAGGAGAGAATCTGGTCCTTGCTGCCTGCAAGGAGTCCCTCAACGGGTGACCTGCTGCACGAGGACAGGGGGAGGGGAGAACACCCGGTCCTTTTGTCTCCCTAGGGCGGGCTGTGCCGGGGGCCATCGCCTTGGGCCCCACTGACACAAAGGGGGTGCCCCTGGCTTGGAGAACAGGATCTTACATGACTAGAGTCAACAGGGTCACATTCACCCGGGGGCAGGCCGGCTGAGCTGTGGGGTTCCCCCAACAAACACTCCTGGAATTCCCTTCTGGATGGCCAGCGGAGCCACAGTAAGAACAGATGGAGTCTGGCCCTCCTCTCCCGCAGGCCCAGGCCCAGAGAGCACAGGCAGGAAAGAGACCTGAGTGAAGGCAGAGGTCAGCGGGGATAGAAGAGCCTTTCCCCTTCCAGGGGCACTTTACAGTCCTCGAGCCCCATGATGGGTTTGAACTGATGACCTCCTGGCTGGCTGGGTTATTCCAGAGAACGGCCCTGAACTAGGATGGAAAGGGGCAGGGGAAGCGTGGAAAACCCGCGAGGGCAGGATGGCAGAGAGGTCGTTCTCAGCGTTTGAGAAAATCTGAAGAAATCATACATTAGCGTCTCTCTGGTCACGTAAGTAAAACCCAGTCACCTCACTAAACAAGCCTAACGCTATTTTATGGCATATGTAGGTAAATCCAATTAGTAAATAGAAAAACAGATTACCGCCTAATGAGTTATAGTACTTGGCAGACAAGATCTTCGAAAATCTAGAAGCGGGGTCAAGTCCGTGAGATCTAGCCTCAGTCTGTCTCAGTATTTGAGGACAACTCAGCGCCGTCCCTGTGACAGCCCTAGCCAGAGGGGATGCGCCAGCCTTTAAAGAACTCGCTTAAATCCAGGTTATTTAATCATAGTGTAAATAGAGCGATCTAGCTCCCAGTGTTTTTTCTACTTTCAGATCTTCCTTGTGCATATCGCTGAGTTGTTTTTTTTTTTTTAAGATGTTATTATTTATTTATTTGACAGAGCACGGGCTCGAGCGCACAAGCAGGGGGAGCGGCAGGCAGAGAGGGCAAGGGAGAAGCAGTTTCCCTGCCAAGCGGGGAGCTGGATGTGGGGCTTGATCCCAGGGCTCTGGGATCATGACCACAGCCAAAGGCAGAGGCTTAACTGACTGAGCCACGCAGGCGCCCTGATACTGCTTAGTAGCACCTCACTAGATCTGCTACTCAAGAAAACTAATCACAATCTTACATGTCGTCAACCTCAAAATATGCTCTTGGTAGAGGGGTAACAAAATCCTTTCCTCTTTTGCATGAGGAGTTGGCCTTTGGTTACCACATAATTAAAACAATTTTAGGGGGAAAGGAGGACTAACAGCAGCAGCAAGAGTATGGGAACCCTTGTCCAAAGAATTAGGACTCCACTGGGGCGCTTGGCTGGCTCAGCTGGTAGAACGCGCAACTCTTGATCTCAGGGTTGTGAGTTTGAGCCTCATGTTGGCTGTAGAGATTACTTAAAAGTAAAATCTTTAAAAAAAAAAAAAAAAGGACTCCAGCAAACTTGGCTTGAGGCTCTTCCATTTTTCCCCTTTACAGGGTATGGCGTATGGGGTACAGAAGGGCCAGCCCCTGTGAGAGAATCAATCATGGTCAAGATTAAGACCAAGGGCTGAAAGACCCCTGTGGCAGGCCGGAACACATCCTCCATGGTTTCTACAGGTCATCTGATGAAGAAAGTATATTCTCAGTAAATACAGAAACAGATTTTGTTAGCTAATTGGGCTTTCCTCTGGATACATCATCTAATTCAAAAACCAATTATCCTTGGGCGTATCTCACATACTACTTCCTTCCTGATTTTTCTGGTGAAGGTCCTTCATCTTCATGCCAATTCAGAATCTCCCCTTTTTCTCAAACTTGGTTCCAACGTTGTTTCTGGAAAACAACCTGATCTTAACCCTGTGTTCTGGGGGTCCCTCTGCTGCTCTGCACTTCCATTCAAATGATGTAATGAATCAACACTGTACTTGCTTGAACTCATGTATGCTTATCATTTCGCTTTTAACCAGATCCTAAGCTATTGGTGGGCAAGGATTCTCCCCACCACACACATACAGAGCACACAGAAGAGTCCCCAGAGAGAATGGCTGGGACCCAGAAAACCGAGGTACTTACCTAGTGATGCTAGGAAATCCACCCTCATCATGCTTGCTTCTCAACTCTGCCTGGGGACATTCTTCATTCTCACGAAGAACGTCATTGTCAACGCCCCTAAAAATCCGAAACCTCTCCCAGCTAATGAGAACAAATCATGGTATTTCTGTGGCCAACTCTAGTGACCCTGCCTACAAGATTCATAAAAGCAAATGATGTCTGTGGTTCCCAAAGGATGAAATGAACACCTTCCCCTCTTGCTGATGCTCTTAGCCACTGGAGCCAGGAATGTATCTGTCCTTTAATATGCTCCTTCTGAAGACAACAGCCAACTCTGGTTTTCCTGCCATGACTTTTTTTTTTTTTTTAAGATTTTATTTGGGGCGCCTGGGTGGTTCCGTGGGTTAGGCCTCTGCCTTCAGCTCAGGTCATGGTCTCAGGCTCCTGGGATCAAGTCCTGCACCAGGCTCCTTGCCCAGCGGGGAGCCTGCTTCTCACTCTCTCTCTCTGCCTGCTGCTCCCCCTGCTTGTGCTGCCAAATAAATAAAATCTTTAAAAAAATAAAAAAGATAAACATTTCATTTCTTTACTTGAGAGACAGCAGGGGGCAGGGGGAAGGAAGGGCAGAGGCAGAGGGAGAAGCAGTCTCTCCACTGACAAGGGAGCTCGACACAGGGCTTGATCCCAGGACCCTGAGACCATGACCTGAGCCAAAGGCACACACTTAACCGACTGAGCCACCCAGGTGCCCTGCCCACCATCTTATTTCTGGTCAATAATTCCCAATATTTTATATGCTATTCACTGTTTAGAAACAAAAGGTTTTGCAGAGTTTTAGCAAAGTGACAGGACTAGCAATAAAAGTAGTGTTGCTTTTTTCCACCGATGTGACCTACATTAATTTTTTTTTCCTCTAAGGATTTTATTTATTTGACAGAGACAAAGAGAACACAAGCAGGGAAAGTAACAGGCAGAGGGAGGAGGAGAAGCAGGCTCCCTACTAAGGAGCCTGATGCAGGGCTCGATCCCAGGACCCTTGGATCATGACCTGAGTGGAAGGCACACGCTTAACCAACTGAGCAACCCAGGTGACCTTTTTTTTTTTTTTTTTTTTTTTTAAAAAGTAGGCTCCAGGGGCGCCTGGGTGGTTCAGCTGTTAAGTGTCTGCCTTCAGCTCAGGTCACAATCCCAGGGTCCTGGGATCAAGCCCCACACCTGGCTCCCCACTCAGCGTGAAGCCTGCTTCTCCCTGTTTCACTCCCCCATCTCTGTGTCTCTGTCAATTAAATAAATAAAATCTTAAAAAAAAAAAAAATAAGCTATGCTCCACACCCGACATGGGCGCTTGAACTCACAACCCTGAGATAAGAATTGTATGCTCTACCAACAGAGCCAGCCAGTCACCTCCGTAATAATTTTGAAAAGTTAATCCTCCAGCACATAAAAGATCTGCACTGTACTACAGCATACACGTCCCGTAAGTTCTGGACAGCTTTTACATCAATTTGAGTTAGATATTTTCTAGAAAAAAATTTCAGAAACTATTAAGAATAGTTGTTTTGGGACTTTCACTTCTGTGCCCTACTATGATCCACACCCCTCCACTATGAGTGAACAGAAACAATGCATTTGTGTTTCCTGTTTCCTGATGATGGCTCGACAGTTCTCCCAGTTATACATTATAATGCTTTCAGGGAAGAAAATCAGCACAGCTGGATTCATGCAGTCTTTATTAATCTGACAAATACAGGAAAATCTGCAATCATCTATCAAAATTATATCTTACCAAGAATCTGAAAGGTATTTAAAAAAGATGGATCACAGTCTGTTTGAATCATGTACAAAGCAGTGTCTGTAGAAGCCAAAGCCAGACGCCGAGCGTGGAAAACGATTCTGCTGAACCCTGCAGCCCGCACCTCTGATCGCCCCGTAAACGGTCCTGTACTCGCTATGCGCTACGGTTGATTTTGAAGCTGCCCTTTTACAACAATTATTTAGTTTCAAAGGAAAATTGCTCCCTGGGAAATCTCTTCTGCTACACACCCGAGCTGCAGGGCTAACACCAGCCTCAGGGCCCAGGGTGGATCCCGCTACTTCCTCAGGGCAACATCGCAGCTGTCCAAGGCCCCGGAAAACAGTCAGGGAAAAGGGTTCATTTCAGCACTTGGCTGATTTTTTAATACGCGCATCTGAGGTTTTTCCTACCAGAGGAGAGAACTGTTGGAGGATGCCGTCCGGATGATTCGGTGGGGTGAGCCTGATGACAGCCTGGTCAGGAACACTCCGCCCAGCAACTTCACCAGGGGCCGTGAAGAGCTGAAACCATGGTTTTTAATCTCCTGTGTTTGGGGGATTTAAAGAGAAGCAAGAAGATCACAAGGATCTCTTCAGGGCCCAAACTCATGACGATGATATGGTTTCATCCCAGGGCAAGAACCATTGTCCAGTTTGCAAGCCCCCCCCACCACCTCCGCCCTGAGTCAGCTTTGTGGTTGCTCCAGAGGTGAGGTTCTAGAATGGCAGGTGAGACGGTTACAGACCATCCAAAAGCAAGGAGAGAGAAAGGAGTATTTTACTGAAAGGAGTAGCTCCTGGGAGAATCAAGTCACCTTAATAACACCAAAGGGTAACCACGAAAAGGGGTTCCTGACAAGTACCCAATACTGCAGAGAAGTTAAAGATGGCATCTCTCAGCCAACAGGAAACTCTAGCTGCGTTGTGTGGATAGGTCTTACTCATCTTCACATCTTCGGACTCCAGCACCACGCCAGGAACATGGAAGACGCCGAATAAATCTCTTCAGAGTGGTTTCTGGGCTCTTTTTCTTCCAGGGCTAGATCATGAATGGGCGATTATGCAAGGCCAGGCCCTGGGGGTCAGGACCAGAGACTTCCTTGAGACCCTGACCCTGAAAGATCTTATGTGGGAGCTTAACTCTCGTCTCATATTCTACAAATGATGACCAAGACTACCATATACATTTTGAGCCCAAGGACAAGCACTAAACTTACTGCATAGACATCGGTTATGGAAGGAGAGATTTTAAGATCAAGAGACTTTAAAAACTGGGGATCCAGGAGTTTAAAAGTGAGAAGACTACCTCTCTAGTTGTTGCTTCTGCAGTGAAATCAATAAATCATTCACTTACGGTTTTCTTCCGGGATGCTTAGAAAGCTTTGTTCTCATCAAGAAATTTAATCATTTACAGTGAGAGCTGTGATCCTAGCACCACATGCTAACCTAGTGAAAATCAAAAACAGGAAAAGCAAGCTCTTCCTCTTTGAAAAAAAGGTCCACAGATCTTCCAAATATGGTTGGTATGCCCACAGGCCAGTTTGTAGCAACCTTCCATGTATAAACACTGTGTTCTGTGAGCCAGTCAGGCGCAGACATCAGTGGCCACTCTTCTTGCTCCTCTTCCTTAAGCAGGAGGCTGGGCCCGGCCCACAGCCACCCCTGCCCTGTGTGAGGGCACATCTGCCATGGACATGTTTCTGTGTTCCCTGGTGACAATCTACTTTTCATGGGGGGAGACTAGCATTTTGATATTTCAGAAACAGCTGAACTGACCCTAAGAAGAAAGTTCCGAGGCAAAGTTCTGCATCTGAGATGGGGGGGGGGGTTCAGGAAAGAAGGGGTGTTCTGCCTATGCTGAGATGTGGTTCCATCTTGGAGAAAGTGAGTTTTATTGCAATCTTTCTACACAGAACAGTGACAGCAAGGATGGACTGAGTCGCACTCACAGCACATACCCTCTTCCAGGAGGAACCTTTCATGAAAGATAGGGTATTTCTGGGACCTTTGCACAAATCAACCACTCTAGATCAGGGGTCCCTCAAGACTCCCACAAATCACAAACACATTCAGGTGTCCTTCCAGAAGATAAAACCCACATTGCTACATATCTGAGGATAAAGTCTCTTGGAAAGAAGGGGCTAAACAAAGAGACGAGAGAACCTACAACGTCACGCCCCGCCCTTCCTGTGCACAGCACTCGTCTTCTGTTTTGCCTGCAGTTCTCAACTGCCTATTAGAGCACGTTTTTTACCTACGCGGTTATGCCCAGCACACTACTGCTCAGGTTAGTTTACGATATTCTGTGACAGAAAACAGCTATTCTAAACTGCAAGGAGAACCACCAACCAGATCACATGACAGGCTGGAGAGAAAGCCGGAACAGGAAGAAAAGCTGGTCTTTCAGTTCCGCCACAAGGACACACTAAGCTTCTCACAAATGCTTCCGGTCCGATCCCACGGCTGCTGCGGGCTGTCGGAGGCAGAAGAACGGTTGTGCCGGCAGAGCTTCACTTAGAGGAGCCGCGTGCCCGCAGGCCGGTGCTCTGCTTCTGTCCCCAGCTGCGCCGCACCGGGCCTCTGCCCGACAGCCCCAATCAAAGGCATACTGAAAGGAAAGGTAAGGCAGAAGGGAAAGCGCAGGACACCCCCACTGTGAGGTTCTTGAGGAATAGCTTGGTTCTCCTTAACATCTGCCCACGGGCCGTTAGCTCACTTTGTCCCACTGGCTGAGAGAGGCCCCTTGTTTCTCTTCTGGGCAGCTGGTTCTCCTTCTGACCCTACGTCCTCCCACGCACGGCTCACCGAGTAAAATCACGGCCTTCTCCAAACTCTTATTTTGTACTGATACAACTGATTTACAGACCACCAGCTTTTGGCTGTTGGTCCAAATTCCAACACACAGTCAGAGACAATGGATTGTAGTTAAAAAAGAAAAACCAGGACAGAAAGTGCTTCACCAGCCATTTTACTCTTCTTTAATTTCACTGTCTTTGGGCACACATTGTATTTGCTACTGAAGAAATTATGGCAGCGAGGCTGACAGCACTGATTCGTAACACATTCTTTGCACCACACAGAGTAAGATCCTAGAGTACCAGAACTGTCTCATTTGCTGTGTGTCTAAGACAATGCTTATGGGGGAGTCAGGGAGAGACGGGAAGAATGGAAGCATCCAGGGGCACGAGAACCAGTAAATATGTCTAAAAACAAATAATTTGGTGGAAAAATCCAGAACTCAACTAAGGCTGATAGGTAACCGTTTGGATATAATTCCATTCTTTCCAGAAATGACTGAATTTGGAACCTGAGGTTAAGACTTTTAGGATAAAGCAACCTCGTATCAGTTCAGACTGTCCATGGGAAGAAATGGTAACCGTTGATGGTACTGAGTTTCAGTGCTTGAAAACGAGACTTTTCAAAATCAACCTATACACCTGACTTGACTCAAGGTGAAAAAAAAAAAGTCTTATTTAAAAATGGTAAGTCTGCAGCAAAAAGGTCTGAAAGTGAAAGTTGGAGCCCCGTTTCAAAAACCTTTTCATTTTGCTGCTGGTGCCCACTCTCCTTACAGTACCTCCTGCAAAGGTTCAGAATTCAAGACAGGTTCATTAGGTTGATCTTCAACATGTAGTTTAAGATGAAGAGTCCGTTTGGTTTACACCACGCCGTTTAATTTCTTGGTAATGGTAGTCCTGAGAGTCTGCAGTGTTGGTAAAATCCACCTGTGACCAAGGGTTACACTGCTGGTGGGAGCACAGTAACTTCGTGGTCCGTCCCTTTTCCTCAGCCTCGTCCCTCAAATCTGGTAGTTTTTGCACCGAGGGACTCAGTCCATCACAATGACGCATGTTCGAACCATTTTCTGGAGACACCTCCTTCCAGCGCCCAATGGTACAGGTGGTTAGGAAGACTTGGAAGGAAGCTGCAAAGAGTCCAGGTGGGAATCTTGCCTTTGTTAGATGTGGACACAGGAAAATCATCTTTTCCTCCCCATATTTTATTATAGTCAAAGGAGAAAAATCCATGGGATTCTGACTGCAAATATGCTAAATATAAAATTGATGGAATGCTAATTGGTCCATAAAGGGCTGTACAAGATAATCTGTGGCGAAGTAGAAAACAAGCCCAAAAGTGATAGAGATCGGAAGAGCTGGCAACGCTTTCTTGAAAATGGCGAGGAGTAATAATGTAAGGCACAAACCCTGTGGAGAGGAGGGGAAAAGACACAAACTCAGACAAAATTATGGAAGTATTTCATGCAAGAACAACCCACACACACACACAAGTCCTGGTCTTAATTTAGTTCACTGAATACTATCCTTTGAGGTTAAATTTTATAACAATTTTTTAATCTAAATTTTGAAACATTTATTTTCCTTTGCAGCACGGAGTTCATGAGGCACACACTGTTGAATTTTACCCCCTAATCCTAGGTAAGAAATAGAATCCAAAAATAAGTAAACTATTTTAAATTAAATAATACTGAAATTTCCATCTAAAATATTGAGTCGGCTACTGCGAGATCAGTGTGGCTGGCTAAAATCCCAGAGGTAAAAAGCATCCTCTGTGTTGTACGGGGGCCAAGAGGTGCTCACGGAACAAACCAGTCAAGGTTTATGAAGCGGACACAGGCTTCTCTCGCTATCTGAAAGTAGCGCATTCCTATGAACCTTTTTTGTAAGCCAAAATGGCATAAAGTGAGTGTATCCCCATTTTCTCAGAGTTCAAATTAAGCCACTTCACTTTTAGGAAAGACCTTCACTAGTACGGGAATGTTTTATTTTTGTATACACAAAAATCCTCCTCCGATTTCTTTTGGTTAGCAAAAATAGCGAAGCGAACTTTCCGAAAGTGGAGGAAGGCCCGTAAACACAGAGCAGTCAAGTCATATATACGGTCCATGTTTTTACCCTAGCTACTGAGACAATGTCTGAAAACCGAGCATCGTTTCAGCTTTATCCAGAATAAATCATTTCCTTCTTAAAAGACCACACATCCAGAAAACTAACCTCCAAAGAAAAATAAAACACATGAAAATTTGAATTGGTTTCGTTATCGTGACACACCACAGACGAAATCACAAATGTGGAAGTCAAGGCTCTCCTCTAACTTCACTCATGTACACCGAAGACATCCCATCTTTAGCAAAAATACCAGTAAGAGATATCTGATGACTTAACAGTTTTGAAAGCTGCAGGGCTCATGTTGTGCCACTCAAAGCAAGACCTACATGGCATCACGCACTGTGTTAGCTCTTCTTGCCTCAAACTTGCTGCCCAAGGAGCACCGTCTGCTGCAGGCTGCAGCACTGAAGGCAAAATCACCACCAGACTCAGGGACTAAATAAGGACCCAAGTACCCCTTTGAGACTGACTAGCACGCCTAACTTCCTACATGTCTACCCTGACAGGCTTAAAGCAGCGGTTCCTAACCAGAGGTGCCTATCAGCACTCTCTGGGGCACTTAAAAACAACAACAACAACAACAACACACAATTAAAACTTTAAATATCTCAGGGTAGGGGTCCTCTCGATCTAAGGGTTGTGAGTTCAAACCCCACGCTGGGTGGAGAGATTACTTAAATAAGTAAAACTTAAAAAAAAAAAAAAAATCTCAGGGGAGGGACGCAGAGTTCTAAAAGCACACTCGTGATCTTAATGGATGGCCAGGTGGCAACCTATTCAGGTAAGTTTCTTTCTTTCTTTTTTTTTTTTTAAAGCTCTCCAGGTGACTGGCACACTCCGCCCAGCCGGGGTGAAAATGGACCACCTTAAAGGGACGACATAAGCAGAGTTTTGAGATGAGCTGGGACATGTTTTTATTAATGTGTACTTACAATTAATATGGCTACAAAACAGGCTATGGTTGTGTTCCAGTCTCCACTGGCTGTGGCTGAGGCTTTACCAACCAGAACGCTGTAGAAAATAAAATCTCCTAATCCAAGTTTTACTCCCCCTAAAAAAGAAGAATTATAAAGTTTGTTACTCTTTGCGATCAATTCAAAAATGTAGGGGCGCCTGGGTGGCTCAGTGGGTTAAGCGTCTGCCTTCGGCTCAGGTCATGATCTCAGGCTCCTGGGATCCAGCCCCATGTTGGGCTCTCTGCTCAGCGGGGATACTGCTTCCTCCTCTCTCTCTGCCTGCCTCTCTGCCTACTTGTGATCTCTCTCTGTCAAATAAATAAATAAAATCTTAAAAAAAAAAAAAAAAAAAAGTAACTTCCCCTCCTCCCCAAAGTCACTGCTGCATTCCATCCTATACTGACTGAGAAAGCAGCAGATGATATATAAAATTCGGCTTTGGCTAGCTTTTCTTTTTTGGTCCCTCCAATATAAGTTTCGGATTCTAGGTAACTAACTTTGGGGTCTTCAACAGTAGATGCTGTTGTTATATATAAAAAGAACAATAACTGTCCTCTACAGAATGGTTCGTTTACACAGAGCATTTGCTCTCATCTCATCCTCACGAGAACCCCTATGAGATAGGTATAATGTACTTCATAAAATAAACCCACTGTAAATGTACAGTTCAATTATTATAAAAAATTTATAGACCTGTCCAACCATCACCACAATCCACATTTCCATCACTCCACGCCTTACACAACCACTGATCTGTTTTCGCTATATGACTCTTCTAGACGTCTCCTAGAAATGGACTCATAACAGCAAGTTGTCTTTGTGACTCACTTCTTGCAATGAACGTATTTTTGAGGTTTATCCATGATATTACATGTGTCTGTACTGTTTCTTTTTACTGACGAATAGTTTCCCATTGTATGGAAATACTGTATTTTTTTTTCAAGATTTTATTTATTTATTTGACAGACGAAGATCACAAGTAGGCAGAGAGGCAGGCAGAGAGAGAGGAGGAAGCAGGCTCCCTGCTGAGCAGAGAGCCCGATGTGGGGCTCGATCCCAGGACTCCGGGATCATGACCTGAGCCGAAGGCAGAGGCTTTAACCCACTGAGCCACCCAGGCGCCCTATGGAAATACTGTATTTTACCAGTTGACAGACATCTGGCTTGTTTGCAGTTTGGGGCTATTATGAATAACAATGCTATGAACATTATGCTGTGACCAAGGGTACACATCTTCGTGTGGACAGTTTTCACTTCCATTGGGTAGATTCCTACACGTGGAATTGCTAGGTTATACGGTAAGCTTATCTTGAGTTTTATAAAAAACTGCCAAATTGTCTTCCATACTGGCTCTACCAGTCTACATGGCCAGCAGCAATTCAAGAGCATTCTGGTTCCTTCACAGCCCTCACCAGCACTTGGTTCTGCTAGTCTGTTTGATCATAGGTTTTGTTTTTTCTTTAAAGATTTTAGTTATTTATTTGAGAGAGAGGGGGGCGGAGAGAGCGCACGCAGGGGGAGAGGCAGAAGTAGGCTCCCCACTGGGGAGCCTGATGTGGGATTCGATCCCAGTACCCCAGGATCATGACTTCAGCTAAAGGCAGACACTTAACAAACTGAGCCACCCCGGGGTCCCATGATTATAGGCATTCTGATTAATGATGTTGAGTAACTTCTCATGGGCTTATTAGCTCTTGTAATTCTCCTCTGGTGAAATATTTAGCCAAACCATTTCCCTATTTTTTATTAGGGCTATCTTTTTAAAAAATTTTATTTAAATGTGAACCAGAAATGTTTATTGCAGAAATTTAGTCAAAGTTCTCATCCGGTGGCCCCTGTTAAGGTTGGACTGGGCCCCTCTGTCCAGGGCTGGGCATATTTGAGTTATCTTCTATTACTGAGTTGCGAGCATTTTTTTTTTTTTTTTAAGATTTTATTTATTTGAGAGTGAGAGAGAGAGAGACAGAGAGAGAAAGCATGAGTGGGGACTGAGGGACAGGAGAGGAAGAGGGAGAAGCAGACTCCCGCTGAGCAGGGAGCCCAACAAGGGGCCAATCCCAAGACTCTGGGATCATGACCTGAGCCGAAGCCAGACGCTTAACTGACGGAGCCACCCAGGTGCCCCTGAGCATTGTTTGTATATCCTCAACACAGGTTCTTCAACAGGACTTGAAATATGACTTGTAAATATTTTCTTAGTTTGTGTCTTCTCTTTCCTAATAGTATCTTTTCTAAAAAAAGTTTAATTGTGGTAAAATACACAATTCAACGGCATTAAATAAACTCATACTAGTGTGCTACCATCCTTATCCTCCAATCACAGAACTCCTTGTATCTTGCAAAACTAATGCTCTACACCCATTAAACACAAACGCCTCCTTCTCTCCCTCCAGCCTCTGGCAACCATCATTCTGTTTTCTGTTTCTGAGTTTGACTACTCTTAGTACCTCATGGAATCATACAGTATTTGTTTTTGTGACTGGCTTATTTCACTTAGCATAATGTCAAGTTCATCCACGTTATAGCATCTGTTAGGATTTCCTTCCTTGGGGCACCTGGGTAGCTCAGCCAGGTAAGCGTCTGCCTTAGGCTCAGGTCATGATCATCAGGGTTCTGGGATCGAGCCCCACGGTAGACTCCCTGCTCTGTAGGCAATCTACTTCTCCCTCCCCTGCCTGCCACTGCCCCTGCTACTGCTATTAAAAAAAAAAAAAAAAAAGAATTTCCTTCCTTGTCAAGGCTGAACAATATTCCATGTATGTACACACATTTTATTTATACACTCATCCATCAGTGGACACTTGGGCTGCTTCTACCTCATTGCCACTGTGGATAATGTGAAGAAGGTGGGTGTACAAACATCTCTTCTTCTTTTTTTTAATTTATATTTTTTTAAATTTAAAAAAATTTTTTTTAAGATTTTACTTATTTATTTGACAGAGATCACAAGTAGGCAGAGAGGCAGGCAGAGGAGAGGGGAAGCAGGCTCCCCGATGAGCAGAGAGCCCAATGCGGGACTCGATTCCAGGACTCTGGGATCATGACCTGAGCTGAAGGCAGAGGCTTTAACCCACTGAGCTACCCAGGAGCCCCCGCCCCCTTTTAAACAACTCTTCTCTTAATGGCATCTTTTGAAGTGCAAAAGTTTTTAATTTTGGTGAAGTCCAGTCTATCAATTTTTTCTTCCATGTACTAGTGTTGTATTGAAGAACTCTGCCCAACCCAAAGTCATAATGTTTTTCTTCTGTTTTCCTCTAGAAGTTTTAGTTTTACCACTTACATTTCAGTTTATGATCCATTTTGAGTTCATTTTCGATTGTGTGCCTGATGGATGGATAGGATGAGGCAGGGGTTTCCATTCATTCTTTTGCATGAGGATAGCTAATTGTCCCCACACAATTTGTGGAAAAGATTATATCCTTTTCCTGTTGAATTATTTCAGCACCTTTGTAAAAACTACTGACCATAAATGTAAGGGTTTTGTAATTCTGTTCCATTGATTTATATGCCTGTCCTTGTGCCTGAATTGATTACTATGCCTTTAGAGTAAGTTTTGATGTCAAATAGTGTTAAGTCCACCAATTTTTCTTCCTCTTTTTTAAGATTTTATTTATTTGAGAGAGCTAAGAGAGCGAGCACAACTAGGCAGAGCAGTAGGCAGAGAAGTGGGAGAAGCAGGCTCTCTGTTGAGCAGGGAGCCTGGTGCAGGGCTCGATCCCCTGGGATCATGACCTGAGCCAAAGGCAGCCGCTTAACTGACTGAGCCACCCAGGCACCCCTTCTCTTTCAAAATTGTCTTGGATATTCAAAATTCCTTATATTTCTATCAGTTTACAGGCACTGACAAGCTGATCCTAAAACTTGCAAGAAATGCAAAGGCCTTAGGTTTTCTGTTATCAAACATTTTTCCCCTTCAAATTCTTTTCAAAGTAATAAGGAAAGGCTAAACATTGGATTCAAAAGATATGTTTTAACTTTGGGGCCCACTACTAATCCATAAAGCTTTACAACTGCCTTTTACCTGTTAAGTAATTATTCCAACTGAAGTTTGAGCCTGGTCTTAAAGGTTAGAGAACTACTCCCAGGAGACAGGTGGAGGGCCCTGAGAAGTATGGTCCATTCCACATGTGGAGGAGAAGCAGAGTGCTGGTTAATAAGATATTACAGAGAAATCAGTGTTCTTCTTGAATTGTGGGAGCCAGAGTGAGCTCCTCCTTAGTGGAAAAGATAAACATATGACCCATGAAATCCGAAGCTGTGAACCACCCTTTAACTTGCTAACATTCCCAGGCTGATGAATATACTCTCTGCTTTCATGTGTACAGAACAGGCCAGCTCTACTACTGAAGTACTTGTATGATCCGGAGCAAGCTGATTCAATTTCTCTAATCCTCAAATCCCTCAGCCCTAAGATGGGGATTACAAATAGGCCATTTCACAGAGTTGTTATCAAGAGTTAAAAAATAATACAGAAAGGGCGCCTGGGTGGCTCAGTGGGTTAAAGCCTCTGCCTTCTGCTCGGGTCATGATCCCAGGGTCCTGGGATCAAGCCCCGCATCGGGCTCTCTGCTAGGCAGGGAGCCTTCTTCCCTTCCTCTCTCTCTGCGTTCCTCTCTGCCTACTTGTGCTCTCTGTCAAATAAATAAATAAAATCTTAAAAAAAAAAAAAATACAGGGGCAACTGGGTGGCTCAGTTGGTTGAGCTGCTGCCTTCGGCTCAGGTCATGATCCCGGGGTCCTAGGATTGAGTCCCTCATCGGGCTCCTTGCTCAGCAGAGAGCCTGCTTCTCTCTCTGCCTCTGCCTGCTGCTCTGCCTGTGTTCTCCCTCTCTCTCTCTCTCTCTCTGACAAATAAATAAAATCTTTAAAAAGTTCCTGACATCTATAAAGACTAAACAAATGACCTTAGAAAGACTGATTTCAAATGTTACAAATGTTAAGTGCTATAAGGAACTAAAACTAAATTCTTCAGAAAAAATTTTATAGAAATGAAATTTTTAAAATGCAGGAAAAAAATTGTATCTGAAAACAAACTTGTATCTAGAAATAAGAACCATTACAACTCAATAATAAAGAGACAAATAAAAATGGTCAA